GTATTCTTTCCTTATGTACCTATCATGTGTCCTGTTTCCTGTAGTACTAATACTGTCTGGTACTGCAAAGTCCTTTGCAAAATTGTTCTGTAGCAATCCATGTAAGAAAATTGTATGTTCAAACATGATTGTATGCTCAAAGAGTGTGTATGTAATACAATGTGTGTGCCTCTCACCCTCTTGTCGAAATATGACTTCATTTTCAGTGTAAAACGTCTGGTACTGTCCTAGAAAATATCTGTATTGTCTGGAGAGGTTCTCTGCATAATTTCATACTTCAAACTGATTGTAGCTACTCATTCCTAGAGTAGATTGAACTGTATCATTGTTTAATAGATGTCCTTGAGCTTCCTAGTGCTCTATTTCCTTCTGTATCATCAAAGTATCATACCTAAATGCTTGAATAGTCTGATCAATTATTCCTAATTCACTATCACTCTGATATTTGCTAGCTGTATGTGTATTACCTTTGCTTTCCCTTGAAGTGGTGTGATAATCTGTTTGAGCAGATTGAGCAGATTGAGTAGATTGTTCAGGTTCTGAACCTGTTCTCTGGCTTGAAGTTGCCCTCTAAACTTCTGTACTTTGTTCCATACAATGCATATTGTTTTCTGATCTCAGTAGTGTCTTACTATCCTTATGTTGTATAGATTGTAGTAGTTCTACATCCTGTAGATTGTAATTGTCATCCTGTAGCTTGAATACCTTGATTCCTACTATGTATCCTGAGTATATGTGTACTAGTACATCCATTTGAGTGTCTGTGATGTCTATAATACATCTAATAGAGTGTCCTGAGTCTATTCTAATGAATCCTGGCTGTCTGAAGGTGTATTTCACAATGTAATACCTTATGTTCTCCTGAAACTGTGTTCTGTACAATATATCCTTGTAGTCTGAGCTGGTTCTGACATTTCTGAACAATTCTTCATTATGAACTGAATAGTTTCATAGTGTAACATCCAATTGTACCTTATAGAATGTTGTTCTATGTGAATTCCTTCAATTGTGCTCATTATAGACTGTATCTTCAATCCTGAAGATGGAAATGTCTGTTCTAATGTTGTAGAATCAATATACCTGAATGTCTTAACATTCTCCTGGTCCTGAAATTATCTGAAGCAGTTCTTCACTTTTGAATACCTTCCTGTACTGAATAGAATCGACTGTGTATGTGTATGTCTGTGTCTTTCTATTACTGTCAATGTATCTCTATGCCTAATACTTATTCTGAAGCAGTATCATTGTATTCCTGATGTATATGCACTTAGCCTTGCTCAATGTGCTGATTTCTGTCTTCTAATGTGTAATGTAGTCTTCTAACTTAATAGAATACCTGTGTGAATCGTTTGGATTGAAATATTTCTCAGTATCCAAGAGTAGTCATAGTTTATAGTCTAGTAATACTTGATAGATTGTCCTACTTACACAGTTTACTATTTGTATTGTCTTGTAAACCATAATACTATCTGGCTGATTATATTCTGATCTTCTAACATTCTCAGGTCCTTTCCTAATGTCCTAGTATGCATTCTTGTTGTCTGTGAATAGCCTGTATTTCTTAAGAGCATTGTTTCAATTTGTAGCTCTAAGAATTAGTAGTAGTGTCTCTAAAGTGTCTATATATGTGTTGCCTTGTGTCTGTAGCATCTTAGAATCCTTGAAACAATAGTTGTATGTATGGTTCCTAGTCCTTTCCATGTGTCATATGTATCTATAGTCTTGTAGAATCCTTTCTACACTGTATGCCTGTGCTTTTGAGTGTAAAATGTTATTGTATACTGTATACAATTGTCTATCTCAATGTTTAGACTTCCTACAATGTTTATTCCTGTACTGAATGCCTGTAGTACAATGCCTAAGTACTGTAGTCTTATAGAGTTTCGAATATACTGAATTTGCCCTTTCAAATGTATTGTTTGCATGCCTGAACTTGTGTTCTGTTTCTTCCTCAAGCATTTCTTACACTTCTTAGTAGCTTCAGTATTACTTGAATCAATGTCTGACAGTTCGAATAAAGCATTACTTTGATTGTAGTCATTGGATGAAGAGGAATCCGAATTATCACTGTCTGGGTCTGATCCTAGGTCAAGATTTCCCTTTCTCTGTATTCTAGAGCTCTGTATTGCTCTGTATATGTAGTTATTCTTTGCTAGGCTCTCTGAAGGTCTTACTAATGCAAATCTGCCTTTATGAACATTATTCAGTGCTTCACTATGCTTGTGTCCATTGTTTGTTCTTAAACTACTGCTCAAGCTATTCTTATACTTGCTGTACTCAATATGTAGCTTTAAACTGTGTAGTTTACTACACTCTGAATCAATATTGTTCTCACTAATACCACTAGTGTTTGCCTTGCCTGGGACTGCTTTCAATTGTAAAGTATTGTTATGGGATTGTTTGTTCCTTTTATTTTTGCAAGGGATACTCTGATGACCTGAAAAACTCAATGTTTCCATTTGAGACTGTATATATCCAGGTATTTCACTTTCTCTCTTATTCCTGGACCTGGCTAGGGTGTTGTATCTATTGTAGTAGTCCTTTACATTGCTCCTGTGCAATGCATAGTCAATATCTACCATGTATAAGGTTAAACACTTGATTTTGTAGGTGTATGCTTAGTTTTCACCCTCTGGATCAAGTACTGATCCTTGTAGTTCCAATTTGCATTCACTTTTGCTATCCTCAAAGTACTGTTCTGTCAATGTGATGTCTGTTTTGCTTGGATAGTCTGAATCGATTTCACAATTGTATTGAATGCCTGGCAGTTCTGGTTTTCGTTCCATTCCTTGTACTTTGTGTTTTCCTTTTGCTTTACACTTTCATTTTGCTTTCTACAAATGTAATAGTTTGTCTGGACTCTTGAGTGTTTCTTCTACACTCTTAGATTAATAGTTCTGATCTCTATTGTCTGTGGGTACTATAGCATGTCTGGCTTTTGTTCTGTAGCCTGCCTGAAGTGTTTCACACTTTTCTGTTACTATACTATTGAGTCTGCTCTTGTTTGATGAAGGAGTTACTTTCTCCTCTTCCTGATACATTCTATTGAACTTGTATGTTCTCTTATTCAAATCATTGATGTCTATCAAACTGTGGAATGGGCTGACATGTCCTATGTCTATCTTAATTGCTCTGGCTCTTACAATGTGTCTGAAGGTCTTACTTGCCTTCTGGAAATCTTGTTCCTTATTGGATCTCTGTAATTCCAATGCCTGGCTCTCCTAGCCTTTGTTACTCTTGTCCTTTGAGTCCTGGCTACTTTCTTTACTACCTAAAAGGGTCTTAGATGTCTTATTACCCTCTACATCACTATTGTCAATGTGTTTCCATTCTGAAGTAAGTGTGCTCACTAGATACTTATCCACACTCTCACTAATACTGACTATATACACTCTGTAACTCTTGTACTGGCTTGCAAATTCCTTGATGCTTGCTGTTAGCTCTCTATATCAACTTGGTGAATCCTTAAACCAAATCACTTGTCCTCTATTGAGTGAATCCTTAAACTCAGTAGCCTGAAATTGATAGAGCAAATCCTCAAGCTCAATCACCTGTACTTAGTGAGTTGAATCCTCAAACTCAACCTTCTGTACTCAATTGGATGAATCCTTGAATCCAATTGCCTGTTCATCCTGAACTTGACTGTCTGAATCCTTAAGAATAATTGCCTGAGTGTTTCTACTCTCTGTACCTTTGTTTGCTATTTCTTTAAGCCTAGTAGTGTGAATACTTGCTAGTGTCTGCTCTACAGTGTATGTTTGTCTAACTATATGTGCTGGTACAGTTACATACCTTAGTTCTATGTTATTAGTATGTACTAGTTCATCAGGGTGCCTCTAGCCTTGTGTAGACAAGGACTTATCACCTGGTATAGGTTCATCAGGTTGCCTCTAGCCTACAAGGGACAAGGACTTACATCCTAGCATGTTAGTATTAATATCTGGACTTGGGTACCCTCTGGGAATCGTCAGTCAAGGCTTGGCAGCCAAATTGTAATCAATATTCAATAGATAATCTTGTTGTCCATTACCTGTAAACTCAATGTACACCTGTTCATTCCTTTTTGCTGTCACAGATGCCTGGTCCTCAACCCATCCAATCAATGTGAACCTTCAGTGTATCCAGCACTGGTCCATATTAATATGTGTTAATGTGTTCCAGAAGCATTCTGCAGTGTTCCAAAGCATTGTGAACCTACTAAGGGCCAATCTAGTAAGTAGTCTCTGTTTCTACTCAAAAATCATAACTTTACTCACTAAAAATTCCTGATGGGTACTAGACAATGAGGGAGACCTAGGGTTGATCAGACCCTTCAGTTCCTCAGCATCCAGCAAGAGGTTTCAGTGCTAGGTGGGTACAGTCAAAAATATGTAAGGAAACTCACTGTTCCTCACAAGAGAATTCTAATCACCCTTAGTTCACTCAACTTCTGACTGGGATAACCTAGTACTCAAGCGAGGGGTCAGGGGAAAAGAATCCCCTTTACCCAACAGTCAATACTGTCTTTTATAGGGGTATACACGTGTAGATACATGAGGAGGAAGTGTAACTAACTACAATGAGAATATATGTGCTTGTGGGTCCCACTGTGTGATGATCTGACACAATCAGCAATGTAGTAATAATAAAATACGAACCAGTAAATCAAATCCTTACAACTATTAGCTATATTATAAAGTAAATTTATACATTTATTTTACATCTAAATACAATAATTGATTTGTTTTACAGCTTTGCTACTATCACGAACATTGATTACATAATCTACTGCTGAAGATCGAGTGCTTATAATGACGCATTTGTCCTCGTCACTTCTTTATCTCATGCCTCCACCATCTCCTACAACTCTCTACCACCCGTTCAACGCTAAGTTGCTACTCTTGTTCTCTCTAGCCCAGTCCTCTGCCTACAAGCGTCCCACCAGCGGGCACTCTGCCTCAGTGCCTGCTTCAACATAGGCAATAAACATCACGTACTCGTCTCTCCAATCTGCCGCTGCGATGCCCGCGCTGAGCCTCAGATCCCGCGATGATGCCACTGAGCTGACTACACCGTCCTTCAACATAAAGCGGTAAGCAGCCAGTCCACTTCATAATCGCCTGCACAATAGTTGCTCATCCCTCTCCTCCCAACTTCTTGTCTCCCTTCCATCCCTTCTGCTCCTTGTTCTGCTGCTTGCGTTGCCTCTCTGTTATTGTCCTTCTTTCCTTACACTCACCTTCATTTTTCATCTGCATCCGCATTATTGACCAATGTCGAACGACTTCTTCAATAACTCCACGCATTTGCATACTTCTTCCCGCTTTGCAGCACAAGCAACAATCTACAGGTATGCTCGCAACAATGTCTAGGTACAACCACTCACATGGTACCCTGTCTTTGACACTGTACACACTCTCCTTCCCCACCCACTGTTCCAAGCTTGACATGCCTTTACATTCCCCAGTGCTGTTCATGACACTGTTTCGAATATCGGAAGCAGTGGTCGACCACTCACCCCTCTGCTGAGTCTGTCCATACCCTCCACTTCACTTTCTCTCTTTGAGCCAGAACCTCCCGGAGATACACCTTTGCAGCTATCCATAATTACTCAGCCCACTGTACTTCTGATTGTGAGACGTAGTCAGAGCATGCAACGCGCGCGTACAAACACGGCTTTGCCTGCGGCCCAAATCAGCTCGTTCAACGCTCCGGATCTCAACCCCGGTGCACCACTCACACTTGCTTCGCACTGTCGCGGTGTGTCCATCTCCTCGATCCACTTATCCACTCACGCCAATGCCAACGCTCACGCTTACACTTTCAGCCAGTCAATCTCACAACCTGTGTCACAAGTGCAACAGCAACCTCTACAACTTGTGCAATCTTACAACCCACATACATGCGTAATTCAACTCGTAGGGACGGAGCAACGACTAAAACGTAGTGACGAAGACTACATCAAACGATCCGAAAACGCATCCATCCTCTTTCATCACGAATGCTGTTTGAAAAAGAACAAGGCGGAGGCAGCTCGTCATACACTGTAAGTACTGTAAGTGTCTCTTCATCGGCATCTACCACTGATTCTGACGACTACAGTGAATCCGACTCGCCCTCTGCTTATAGTTCGCTGTATGGCTGCCCTTCGGATATTCGTACACAACGTGCAGTGGCGTGCGCAAAGTGGAAATGGCGGACTTTGCTGATTTTGAGATGGTGATGCGGATTGATCGAAAGGCAGGGTCAACTGCAGACGTGG